GAAAATTACACTTTAACCTCAATCAAGAAGTGTCCTGAATACACAAAACAAAGACTATAGTTGAAAACGTAAGCAATAAAACTGCATCAACATGGGAGTCAAAGTAATAGTTGGGTTGTGTCTTCTTCAAATGGGAAATACAGAATTATTATTATTATTCAGGATTTCTATAGCGCCAACAGTTTGCAAAGCGCTTTACAAAATGGAGGGAGACAGTACAGTTATAATACAATTTCCATACAGGGGGGTTAGTAGGGCCCTGCTCATGAAATGGCGCCAAGGAGCACAGGAAATTACTATACTCCTTGGCTCGTTCTAGTGACCACAATGTGCTGCAATTCTTGTTTGCATAGCTATTTGCTGTGCGAACAGGTTATACATGATATTGATATGTTGGATTTAAATAATAATGATGTCCAGCTAAACAAAATATTTTGCCATCCTATCTCACTTATAGATTTGACTAATTACTGCATGGAGGTGTCCGAGTCACTTGGCCAATACTAGACTAGTAGCCTGAGCAAGAAAATAAACAAACACATCTCACACTAATCGCAGGGCAGTAGTTCACGGTTCTCAGTCTGCAACAGAAGTCTCAGGATAAGGATCTTAGTTAAGAAACTGCAATAGAACAAACTGATAACAAAACTGAAAACAGTGAGGCCTGGTTCACACCTGTACGTTTTGTAGCGCGTTCAACGCTCTACGAACGCTCTACAAAACACTCAAACATGAAAATCCCATTGTTTTCTATGGGTATGGTTCACACCTTGCCGTATTTCAGCCCGTCTCAACGCGCTACAAAACGGCCTACGCCTGAAAAGGTACATGAGCTTCTTTGCAGCGTTTTTGTCTCGCATTTCCATTGGGATACAGCCAAGTAGCCCTCGGAAACGCGCGTTTTTTAACCGCGAATCGCTGTAAAAACACACGTCACGAAACGCGCGACAAACGCGCATATTCGATACGCCTAGGTGTGAACAGAGCCTTGGTGACAAACATACTTTAAATATGTTTAGGACTTTCATGTCCTTTATCATAGGATTTTTCAATAGTATTGTACTTAAAGAGACCCTGTCATCAACTTAAAACATTGCAGGAAACAAAAACAGAAAAGTTATTTATTTGAAATGCTTACTCGCAGTGTTCTTCCTTTCCATAAATTATTATTTCTTTACTTACAATGTGCATTTTTTTTTGCTAGATAATCTAATATAGGGTTTATTTACCTAGAACAGCCCCCTCCATCTGTGCACAATATAGTCCGCTCCACTTAACTCACTCCATAACCCATTATGTAGCTGACAGGAGGAGATGAAGAGGAAATACTATAGAGTTTCACTTGAGTGACAGCTCTGAGTCTGCTGGGGCTGCCGACGTCACATCCATGATGGCAGCACCCAGCAGCAGTCTCAGAGCTTTTGATTGTTTAAACAAGGGGGGATTGTACTGATAATAACATGCAGACAGTACGTTAAACAAACAGATCATTTTATGGCAAGATTTTTCTTGAAAATGAATATTTGGCGACAGGCTCTCTTTCAAGGACTGCTATAGTACGGTCTGGCTGCTGTGGGTGGCAGTGGTTTCCTCAGTTAGTTTCAAACTTTTATTCTCCATGCGTCATCTTCCAGTGCAGATAAGAATGCAGTTGGTTGCTATGATTTGTTGGTCGCAGCTATTCCCTGTGACGGTTTTACACAGTGTATGTAGAAGTACTGATGTCCATACAGAAACTGGCAAATAACTACCACCGGAGGTAACAATTTGACATTTGGTAATGAACTTTTATGGGATTACTGGAAAGGAAGTCATCTGTGTGTTGGCAAATCTCACTTGCTCTGTGAAAAGTGAGGAGATGCATCTTCTAATCATGTCCCTGTTGGTATTGGAAGGGTAAAGAAGTGGAGGAAATGCATCTTTAAAGAGACTCTACCATGCGGGAAGTATGATGGCTGCCATTGCTGGTCTCCTTCTAAAAATGCTCGTTGCCTACTCTGACAAAGCTTTAAATTAAAAAAAAAGTCAGACCTCCTTATTTTATATATTTGTTCCAGGTAAGTTGCTCAGATAGCATGGAAGCCAAAGCATCACCAGACACACATGGGATTTCCAATTCCCTCCCCCCCGGGGGGTTTGGGGGGGGGGGGGTCATCTATATCCTCTCCATAAAGAATAAATAAGTATGCTACCCTTAGGTGTAACATTGGGCATCCCAAAAGATATATATTTTTAAGATGAAGCCCTCATAAACCTTTAAAAATTCTGCTTTTGTTTTATACTCACTCTACATCAGAGCAATGGTCATTTCAAAGCACACAGGGACTTCAATGATGTAATAGGCATTGATTATTCATATGAACAGAAAAAACAAATCTAGATGATCTAAGTTTAAGTTGGATGTACAAAAATAAAATATTGCTGAACACTTTAAAAACAACTGTAATAACTTTATCAAAAGTGCATTAGATTAAGTCAAGTGTTACTTTCAATACTGTATATATACTGTATACACACAAAAGTCTATAATACATTATAATTACAAGGTTTGCAACATTAAACCTCATATGAAACAAAAACACATATGATTCTCCATCCTCTTGGTTTCATCCATCAGGACTGCAGGCTCTAATGTTTTCCAGGAACCACAACTTCTGAAGTCTCAGATACACAGGCTGTAACCATCATATCTGGCAATTTAAAATACTAATAAAAGGGAAAACATACTGACTGCAGATCACAGGACAGCAAACCCAGCAGACTCTACACTTAGGCTGTGTACATTTCATTTCACTCAGTACATCAAGAGCTACAATATAACAACATGGTAGTTCCCAAACTAGCCCCCATTTAGTAGTGTACTGGGTACACTGACTAGGACACTCATTACTCCGGCCCAACACTATGTGGACATGCATGAAAAATCCTAAATTGGGTCATTTATCAGCCGTTACTTCCTCAAGTAGTCAGGTTTTGAAGAGGTAATGCAGCTTTCTGAACCACAGGTATGGCAAGGGGTGGGTACAATGGAGAAGAGGCAGTGCCATCACAAATGGGTCTCCAAACGCTTATGTGTGCTTATATATTTCATGTTTATTGGAGGGTGTTGTCACTATGGCAAACAGGGCTACCATATTGATGGTGTGCACATGAAAAAATACATTTTATTCAAGTGTCTGCCGCAACCTTATGCTTTAGCAGCCCAGGTAAAAAAAAACATATTTCTAGTGCTCTTCATTCATATCTACACTCCTCTAGTGGAGCAAGAGTCAGCCTTCGTGGAGCTATACTACAGCATACCTTTAAAATGTTGCACATTTAAACACATGTTCCAAATGTGCAACTCCACAAAGTTGTGCCTCCAGTGAAGCCACACATCCTTCTTACTATGTTCTTGCAGCAGTAGCCTGTCCCACATGGAAGCAGGAAATTGCATCCTTACAAACAGGAAAGAGAAACATCACATCATAAACGTGCCTTACTTTGGAGGTGGATCTAAGCTCTCAGACCTCCTGTTCTGTTAGTCATACATAGTTTTTCATTCCTTCATACTGTTCTTTTGTGACTTGTATCTCCAATAATGAAATGTAAATGGGTGCAGCAGTAAACCCACCAAGGTTTACATTGGTTGGTCACATTCGTTTTACATGTTAATCAATAACTTCTAGAAAAGATGAGTCCCTTGGAATGTCTGAGCATTTTTGCTGCAGCACACCAAGTTGACCCCACAAAGTGCCTGCAATACTGTTGGCAAACTCAATGACCAGTTCTAATGTTAACATTCTAACCTGCTCTGACAGCAGAGAAGGTAGATGCTAATAGGTATATATTTGCCAAAAAAAGTCCTTTCTGTAAGCTGAAATATATAGCTAAACAGGATTCACAACCCCTTCAGCTGCAGATGATATTAAAAATGATAACTTAGACGTCTTTGGTAACCGGGGGATTTCCAAGAACTACCGCATGTTCCATCATAAACCAGTTCAAATCAAATGGCCTTCACAATGCTTCATGACAATGGTTACATTAAACAATTTGGTTGAACTTCTTTCAATGATATTTTGGCAATTTGATATTTGTTTGGCAAGAAATTCAATTAAAGGTTTCCATTGTTTAACTGCCAATATGTAGCGTACAAAAGGTTCTACAAATAACGGTGGACACAGAGGAGGTCATATTTAATCTAGAGAAGTATCTTCAATTTGCAAACAAATGGTAAAGTAATACCAAAGTATATCTAGTAATGTAATAAAATGTTCTACAGTAAGAGAACCCTGAAATGCCATTGGTGGATCTTGATATTTTGCTCCATAAGCAGAACTAGGATTCAGTCTACATGATGTAGATCTCCATAATTAGATCAAAGGTTTAGTCTCCATGAAGTGGGTCTATGGTTCAGTATCCATGAGATGGATCCATAAAGTGTTATCTAAGCTTCAGTCTCTTTGAAATGGATCTCCATAAAGTGGATCTAAGGTTCAATTGCCATGAAGTGGATTAAGAGTTTGATCTCCATGAAATAAATGTAAAATATATGCTGAAGGTACTAGACCTAAATATTCTCGAATGAAGTTTTTAGTGTTCCAAATGTTGATGGTTCACGTCTGTAAGCTGAATCTATAATGCAATTCCGTCTCCATGAAGAGGTTTTAGGGTCTAATCTCCATAAAGTGGCACAAGCATTCAGTCTCCATGAAGAGGATCTAAGATTCAGTCTCCATAACTTGGATCTAGGATTCAGTCTTCATGAAGTGAATGTAAACGTTTTAATGTTCAAGAACTGGACGGTTCACTTTTGTGAAGTGGATATGCAATTGAATTCATTTTCCATGAAAAGTATCTAGACATTGCATTCTGCATCCACTTCTTGCAGATCAATCTGAATCAGGTACTTCTATAGAATGTGACCTTCAGTAGGGCAATCAAGATTATTGGTCTTGATTAAGAATTCCTTCTCCAAGAAATGAGTCTACAATTTGACCACATTATAGGGGCATAAAATGAACCTAGAAGTGGGACTAGGATTCATCTAGGATTAGGCCATGATCCACTTCTGCATTTCCAACACTGTATGCAACACGGTCATCCTTCAACATTCCTGCAAATGAAAGAAAACATGACTTAGTAACTTGGCAAGGCATCACACCATACACACAACATTGACTATGAATGCCACTGCAACAAGCTAAGGCAACGCACCTCTGACAGACATGCGATGCAGTGTACCACAACACATGGTAACACTACTGTTCATTGTGGTGCACTCTTTGGGAAAATAAATTCTGGTCTGTATTGTTGAGTAGGCAGCCCATTCAAATAATTGCAACGCATGTTAATGCCCTGCAACGCATCACCTAGTTGTGGCTGTACACAGTTTAAACTGTCCCCAACTCAATGTCACCTGCATAGTTTATCTAAGGGATATACAGTAGATCTACACATTTTCACACACTATCCGTCTTCTTTTATTAATACATTCCTTTTGTGGCCTTTACCGAAATATTGTAACAGTTAGCCTCACATTGTGCGTTGCGGCCTGCTTTTGCAAAATTTGTTTTAAATAAAATAAAAAATGAAGCACCGACATGCTAACCAACTTTATAGAGTTAGGCAACTCTGACTATATCCATTTGTGCAGATAAGTTATTTCAAAGTTAGATTAAAGGAGAACTATGAGGTGAGTGCTTTTCACTCACCTCATAGTTCTAGCCGACCTGTGACAATGAGACTGTCACAGGTCGGCTCAGTAGATCGGGAGGTGAGCGAACACATACCGGGTTCGCTCACCTCTCGATCCTGTCACGGCTCTCTGCTGTGACAGGGGGAGGGGCTGGATTCCCCTCTCCCCGCTCCGATTTGCCAGCGCTGACTGGCGGAACGGATGGGGGAGGGGGCGGTTACAGCTGGCTCTGCCTCTAGATAGGCGGAGCCAGCTGTCACTCACGCAGCTGGGCGGATCCCGTCGTCTAAGTCGGGATCCGCTCCGGCGTCTCAGTATACAGCGAGCTGTAGCTGGCGGTATACTGAGCTTAGGGTAACGGGAGGACGCTAGTTTGTGTCCTCCCGTTACCCTAAGGAGAACTATGGGGAAAAACACTGACCCCATAGTTCTCCTTTAATCATTCTGATTGATACACATTATAAAAGTGAAAGGTCCCCTCTAAAGTTTTCCAATTTCAGATTTCCCTACAATAAAAGGTGCCGAATTACTATTTCACTTGAAGAACTAAATGCACAATGCTTAAATACAGAGTACAAGAATCCTAAACCATTAAAAAGAGACCTCTTGGTGCAGAAAACTGTAATTGGAGATTCCTAGAAGTGCTAAACTTAGATGCTCCAGATTCTTAACTGCTTAGAGCTTTTCTGACGTCACTTAAAAGAAATGAAATGGCTAAACCTTCTTGTGCTATAAAAGTTGCTGATACATTTTACACAGGATTAATAAAATTGTTAGTGTCCATGTCCGCGAAGACACAACAGGTACCATTGTTGGTAATGCAGTAAAAAGCGGCTGGAATCCAGCCCGCGGCATCCAGGAAGGTGCAGAATTTCAGCTTGGCAAACGTTCAGCAATCGGGAGTTATTTTACAGTTCATGTCTTCTAAAGTTAACCATCTTCAAAACACACGGCTGAGGCAACCAACATTAACCCTGGTAGGTTTTTTTCTGTTAATTGTCTAGTAAAGGGAAGAATTTAAAGCCCACTCAGTTCATTTTTTGCTTTACCTATAACGCTAGGGAGATTTCCCTTCAGTACCTGTCCTGGAGACAGCATAGGAAATGAGATGAAATCTTCCCAAAGTTAAAGGAATTCCCATCTTAGACAGTTGTCCCCAGAACTGGACCCTGGAAATTTGTCTCCATTGTAAGATGTAAACTCGCCTCTTGCTCTGGGGACAACTCTAAAAGTTTGGATTTCCCCTCACTTCTGAACCTTGGAACAATGGTCACCAGGATGAATAGAGGCATGGATCTACCCAGCTAGGACACAGATGGCAGTACAAACTTCAAAGAGGGTCTAACCCTTCCACACTCAAAACTGAAAAAGGCCACCACAAGCTGCGCTGTGCATGACCTGCATTGGTAAGCAGGCTAGAGGGTTTACTTGCAACAGTATAAAGGTGAACTCCAGGCACACAAAGTTAACACAAAATGTACAAAATGGCACTGAAGCTGATGAGGAAATTATTTAAAAAAAATATGATTCTAAATTTCTGCTAAAGGGAATGTGTTGATGACTGCGTCAGGCCTGCAGGAGCAATGAACACAAAAAATGGTCACCTGGCCACATTCCATACCAGTGGTCCCGGCCATTCTCTGAGAACAAAGGCAACATGATTTTCTCAGCACATAAGCTGCCTAAATAAATAGTACCATTTCCTGTATACTAAGCAAATGCACAAATGGAGACGGGTTGGGATGAGTGAAATACACTCATACGCAATAGGTAGAGGCAACATGTCAAACATCGGCTCTATAGATCTAGAACAGAGCTGAGAACTGAGAAAAAAAGATTTGGCCATAGTTCTCTTTTAAAAGGATTTGAGTATCTATTCCTTTATCCAATCACGTGAAAAGCAAATTCCTGTTCACTTTGTGCAGATGCTTTTCACATAATTGGATGATTGAAATGAATATTTACACAATTTTTGGAGTTAATATTCTCAACTTCTGTAGTAAATCTGCCCAGATAGGTTTTTACTGAGTCTGGAGTTCAGCTTTAATTTGTTTTGTGCCGAGCGAACTGACAAATAAAAAAAATTGAGGCAAGGTAACAGTTTTTCTTGCCTCGAATGAACATACCATATAAAGCAGAAATAATAGAACAGCAGGCACACAAACCGCAAGAATTTACTGGAAGAAGAACATTAGGAAGACTGATCTCCTTGGATCGTGTTCAGACTAGAACCGCAAAGATTAAGAACAGATACAATTAAGTATCTTGCATTAGTGGAATGAATACTTTGAAAGGACAAACCTAATTTATATGGATAGATGTCAAATGGTATTAGTGGCTCATGTTCCGTAGTGAAATATAATCCACCAATATGGCTCACAGTTTAGCTACAGATATATCAAAATAATAAAGTTTGTTCACATATTTTCCTAGCCCCCCATAATATTTTCCCTTACTTTAATTGTGGTATATTATTTTGATCTGGCAGAAGAGAGTAAAGCCAATACGACTGGTAAACAAAGAGTACCCTAGTTACTCGGGACTTAGACCCCATTCACACTGAGCGACATGCAAATCGCGCGACTTTGAGCGACATTGAGCGACGTGTCGCGCGACATCTTCCTATTGGGCTGTATGCAATCAGGAGCAATATCGCTCAAAATCGCTCTAAAAAAGGGTCATGTAGAAGCGACAAGCTACCAGCGACGAGCTACAAGCGATATTGAGCGACATTGAGCGACGAGATGTGAACAGCTACATTGAATTGTATTGGTGAAGCTACATAGAGCGATATAGTGCGGAAATATGAGCGATATCGCTACAAAAATCGCTCAATGTGAACGGGGCCTTAGAGTGATGTTTACAAAAATCGCGCGATAAATCGCTCAATGTGAACGGGGCCTTAGAGTGATGCGATATGTATGCATATGCCAGAGTTTGCAGCTTCATCTGCTCTAGAAATCATTAGCTGTAGCCTCTTCACTCTTCTCCTGAAATGACTGGTGTTGGTGACCTGGGGGTAGCAGTGATGTCACTCCCCTTATGTGACAGGGCTCGAGCCTAATGACTGGTTACTAGACGGCGCACTGACCCCATGACATTGCCCTTCATGGCCAAGGTGACAGTGTAACTAGTAAGTTAGTGGGGTAAGGTTTAGAACCTCTGTTAGGTTTTACTGCTGGCTTTGCTTCCAATGTGGAGATTTCCCTTCATTTCCTGCCCTGGTCCTTTGGCACCAGCTCACAAGGGTGTCTCATTGCAGCAGGAACATGAGAAGAAAAAAAAAGTATTTTCCATGCTCGAAACATGGAAAAAAAAACAAAAAAAACCCTGTTAATGGTGTCAGAAATTCAATGCTGTTCTGTGTTTTCTTCACTCATCCTGTGTTTTCTCAAGAGCTCTAATTAGCCCTCCCAGTTTGTATCTTGGACTACAAAACACTTTATCACTATGTTGTCAGCCCCAACAGGCACTGTGACAAGGCACTGTGTTGTCAGCCCCAACAGGAAATTAGGAGCAGAGTGCATATCTACCACGATCAGCTAGTAGTTTTTTGTACTTGTAGGGTCTTTAAAAAGGGACACAGGAACAGAAAACGTGAAAGGTATTGCCATATGTACTGCATGTTTTTTTGTTTTGCTTTGACACCTCCTTTAAATTCAGCACACCAAGGTTCCTGATACAACTGGTTTAAAGGACCAATCCAAATCTTATTGTGCATGGCATGATGTAAAAAAGATACATGCTATTACCAAAATCAACAGCAGCTAATGACTGCACATTAAGAGTACTCCCAGAAGTCCCATCCACTGCTGCCGACATAGAATTAGTTATTTATTATGTTCCATTCTGTCATTCTGTATGCAGCAGATGTTACTGTTTACATTGGCTGCTATGGCATCCTTTCCCATCTCGTTATAAATCTCATCGACTGAGTTGATTAAGCTTACAGGATTGCATGAGTCCGATTAAGCCAAATCACCTGTTTATCATCCAGGCTGCAGGCAAGCTGGTCTTTCTCCGCATGGCTTTCTTCAGCTGTTCGACAGGCATCAAGTTCTGGTAGATGAAGATGTTCTGAAGCCTGCGTCCCCAGAATCTCTCCGCTGATGCTGTGCACACTGCTTGCGTGGAAGAGACTTGGCTCCCCACTATCTCTATTCAAAGAGTCTGCGCTTCCTGCTATAGGCTCCGGATGTGGCTCACACACAGGACTGCTATCATTGCCAGGAGCTGTTTGCATAAGGGGCCAAGTTTCTGCACGCTCTCCGCAGGCCGAGTGTGAAGTAGATCCAAAGAATGCTGGAATCACGTCTGCTACAGAATCGGCGTTCCTGAAAAAGCAAAGATTAAAAACAATGACTTTATACTTATGGAAAGTTCAAGAGTCTATCACATTACATATTAAACAGCCATCCCAGGGGGCGTACTTCAAGAAGCAGCACTTATGGTGAGTTTAAACTGCAAACGACTCATTGTACATTCCTTTCTTCAAACAAATACTCTTAGTGTGTATCTAATCCCAAGAACAGAAAATAAAATATATTACAGCTTACCAGTCCTTAGAGACTTCGCATAGTGTTCATGTGCATTTCTGCCACGAGTCACCCGTGCCATATGCGTGCCAAATGTGGCAAAGTAGCTCATCGGGTACTTTCAGCTGCAAGCGCGCCAGGGTTTTTTTTCCGTGTGCGTTTGACACATGTCCATGCACAGGGAAAAACGTGCATTCTACTGCCCGTGTTTGGGTGCCATTGACCAGTAATAGTACCGTGAGTGCGTTCCACGTTTCTGACTTTGAAGCACGTTCACCAAATTCGAAGGCCTGAACGGGGACTAACATGTGGTGACTGCATAAGATTTTTTTCTTTTCAGACTTTTTGCCGGGTGATCTGGCCAGTAACACACTTAAGGTGGCCATACACTGGTCGAATTGCAGCCTGCTTTTAATGTACTCGCCGAACTTCGCACAGTGTGTGGGGCTGTCAGCTCTCCTTCAGCCAGCATTTCTCGATCAGCTGATAGAAGGAGGCGGCTGAAAAATCTTCGTACGATCAGAGCCAGCAGCCAATGAGCTGCCTGCTCTGATGCGGTATTCCGATAGGTGTCGCCGACATACAATGTAAACAGCGGGATTTCTCGATCGACACGCTGTTTGTGTTGGAGCAAACGCGTCAATTTTTTTCGCTCAGCCTGCAGGTTGAACGAAAAACAATTGATAGGTGTATGGTCAGCCTAAAGGTGCCCATACACCTTTCAATTATCTGCAGATTTTCTGTGGTCAGATGGAAAAAGTGCAACAGATTGGCCCAGGTGGAGATTACTCCATCCACACAGTTAAGTGTAGATGGAGGAATCTGTTGCACCTTTTCCACCTGACCACAGAAAATCTGCAGATAATTGTAAGGTGTATGGCCAGCTTTAGGGATCTATTTATAAATGTTTTCACAGAACCTTTTCCCAGCATACACACATTTTTCCAGTTAAACCCAATTAGAAGCATATGTGAACCTTGGGTGAAAGTTATGCAAATTCTTGGTGAAAACATGTATAAATAGGCCTTTAACTGTCCTGGAGTGACAATGCTCACTCACTGTTATGTATCTATAGAAACACACTATTGTCACCCTAGGACAGGAATATAGTATTCCTCCTCCTTCTCTCTTTTCCATGGGAGAGTGGGAGGTGTTTTTTAGTCTGCAGAAATAGCTGTGGACCATGGTAACTGATAAGAGTGCAGCAAAGCCAAAAGTATAGGAAGTTATCAGTAGGGAGGCACTGAAATTTCGGCCGCCGAAAACGCACCTTTGCCAAAATGCCATCTTTTGGCTAAAATTGCGGTGCATCCATAGTTCCTCTCCTCCCCACAGGGTGCTGTTTTGTATCCCCTCTGACACAGTGCAGCGTTCAGCGTGGAGGAGAGAAACTGTCAAGAGCAGGGCGGGGAGGAGAGTGGTGCGAGCGTGTCACAGGAGGCCGTGCTCTCCTCCCGCACCACCCTGCTCTACCCTCCTGCACAGATCAGGAGAGCGGTGTGGGGGCAGAGACAGCTGTCACTGAATTGCAAAACAATACCAGCGCCTTCAAATCCAAAAAGAGCCCAGCAGTAAAAATACAGCAAACACGGTGGAGGCAGCTCCCACAGATTAGATGGAACACCAGTCTATGAGGAAAAGAACAAAAGAGAGCGCCTCCATAGTGTAAAAATTGTATTTAATAGTAAAAACACGCAGCTCTAAGGCTGTACTTACAACAGTTCGGTAGAATAAAAACCAGTAGAATAGGGTGAGAGGACGGAACCCCTGGCAGGGAGAATATGGAGTGATGTAAAACACCAGTAACCTCGATCCCTGTATTGATAAATAGTTAACGCGTTTCTGGGGCACGCCCCCTTCATCAGAACCAATTGCTGTGACAGTGAGTCAGGATGGAGAGCAGTACAAGCAGCCAGCGATCGCTGACTGTAAATAAGTGGACATAATATGAGTTACTATGTACCAGTTATGAATGAATGGGAAGAGATCTACATCACTTCCTGTTCATTCATAGTTATGCACATAGTAACTCATACTATCTCCAAGTTATGAATGAACAGGAGCACTCAGTATAGAGGATTCCTGTTCACTTATAACAGGGGCTGCAGAAAAAGAGATTGTGGACTCAATCTCTTACCTATTTTAAAAGGGAAATATCAGGGATCTATTTAGACCCCTAATATTTCACCGACTTTTCCAGTGAGGCATGTATTTGTAATAAATGTAATGTCCACCCTTGTTTGTATCACTTACTTTGTACAGTGACATAGGAAATGGAGCTATAGAAAAATAAACAAAATAATAATAATAATAAATCCTCACCCATCATAGAGTGTGCTGTGTGACCGAAATACACATCCATGTTCCATGCTGTACGTCTCATCACAACATAGTGATGGAATCAAATGAACAGGACCTAAAAACAAAACCCATTTACATAAGGATATGTCTAAGCCAGTAATGTACACAAGCTAATGTCACAGGCATCTCTATAACTGCATAAGTACAGTGCTCTATAACTGAAGGTTGCCTAATAGGCATTGCTCTATAACTGAAGGTTGCCTAATAGGCATTGCTCTATAACTGAGGGCTGCCTAATAGGCATTGCTCTATAACTGAGGGCTGCCTAATAGGCATTGCTCTCTATGATGAATAAATGTTAGGGAAGTAAGATGTTCTCATCTGTTGCTGCTGCAACTTGTAACTTCTGCAATCTATATAAACGTTCTATCTTGACTGAACAATGACAGCAATAAGCTCAGTCTGTTCAGCTGTATGATGTGCAATGTTAATGGAATAGTCACTTCCTATGTGTTCTTTGCTGCAACTCCCAATAGGGTAAGCCAAGCACACGCTTATCACTTACCACAAGCCTGTGCTGGTTCTTCCTGGCAATGACAGCATGTAATGTGTGTGTGTTCGGTGAGCTGCGGTCTGTCCAGGCATGACAACTCTGAGCCTACATACTGCACTTCCTGGGATCTGCTGGACCCTGCATTACACAAACACAAGGAAACATTGACGAGGTTGTACAATTTCCTAGATCAATGTATATACACAGACAGGCTGCCTATGTGCTGCTCATCTTCCAGAGAAAGTGGTGTGATGAACCAAAAGGTCACCCCATCTACCTTAGCTCTGCCGACCTTACAGGTGAAACTCGAATAATTAGAATATCGTGCAAAGTGCATTTATTTCACTAATGCAACTTAAAAGGTGAAACTAATATATGAGATAGACTCATTACATGCAAAGCAAGATAGTTCAAGCTGTGATTTGTCATAATTGTGATGATTATGGCTTACAGCTCATGAAAACCCCAAGAACCCCAAATCCACAACCTCAAAAAAGTAGATTATTACATGCAATCAATAAAACAAGGATTGTACATAGAACAACATCGGACCTCTGAAAAGTACAAGCATGCATATGTACTCAGCACTTGGTTTGGGCCCCTTTTGCAGCACTTACTGCAATTACTTTTGCACGATATTCTAATTATTCGAGTTTCACCTGTATATTTAAAGTGATAATAAAGTCAAAAGGATTTGAAGCTATTTCAAATGCTGATGAAATAACTTACAATGAATGCTCGTTCTTCATGTTTAAAAGTTTTAGTCTTCTGCAGAATCTGCTCCTCCCCTGAACACTGGTCCTGACCTCCTGTTTTAGAGTGACTCCCCCCACTCAAGCAGAGTGCTATGTAGTCACCTCTGTGTGTGCTGAAGGCACACACAGAAGTAAGCTGTGTGTCTCTCCACAAACACACAGACCCAGCAAATCAAGCTATCCCCCCTGGCCCTCTCTCCTCCAAGCTAGCGGATGAACAGTTGCTGGAGTCTGCACTGTCCTTTGTGATCTTGTACTGGACAGGAAGCTAAGCGGAGAGACTTGGAAGCAGCTATTCAGAAACTTGATGATTGTAAGTATTTGGGCAAAAACGTAAATCAAAGCTTTGCTGGGCAGTCTGTATATTTGTTTGACCTGGATTCATTATTGAAAAAAAGATTGAGTTTAATTCAACTTTGTAGGGGGAAGGGGCAGGGGGAGAGAAAAGGCCAGAGCAAGTTCATTAGAGGAAATGTCCTAACCTGTCTGTCTGATTGACCGTTCCCCCAACCAGCTGACTCATGTGGGATCACTACCTGATTTTGCAAGGAAACATATTATACCTTTATAATGTAGGAAATTCCAAGATTAAAAATGGCCAACACTTCCCTTGTAAAATCACACATGAAATGTTTTTAGCATGCAGTATACAATACCACAACTGGATATCTTAGGCCAAATGGCTCTGTATGAGAACCACTGGTTGGATCTGTCCGACCAAGTAATGTAAATGCAAGAAGGAAGAAGTACCTATATTAGTTACAAGAGTGCTGAGGATGGTGGGGACCTCTTAATGTCATTGCACAGATCAGTACAATACATACTACATATATCTGTATTCAGACTATATACCAGGGATTGGCAACCTCTGCGCTCGTGTATCTGAGGTGAAACTACAAATATCATTAGGCATTGCAAGACTGACAGCCACGAATCCCAGACGCAGAGGTATGAAGGGATTTGTAGTTTCACTACAGCTGGAGTGTCGAGGTCGCTTACCCTTGCTATTTGCAGCATATACACAATCTTTGTTTTAAAAATAAACATGCACTACAGGACAAAGAATTGCCAGAGCACTAAGTGTTTTCTAAAGAGACCACAGCAGTTATCTTTTTTCAGGTACTGTGCTCGCTGACTGCAATCTTGAATAGAGCCATCCAATATGAAGGAGGTGCCGACTCATTCAATTGTGTTTGTAAATTGTAGATTGAGCTTCTGGTCTCTGTACGCTGCATTTTATAACAAATGAGGAAGGGAGACAGTGGAAAGCCTAAAGCTCTATCTATTGACCACAATGTAATGAGCAGCATTTTATAGTTACAGCTTATTAACATTTTTTTAGCCCTATCTCAGAAAGAAAATATTTACCATTCCTCTAAACATGATAAAAAAAAAAATAGAATTGTTGATACTCACAGTTTGGCTTTTTCTCCATAAACTGCCTTTTACAATAGATAACGGAGAGGATGAGTAGGGCCAATAGTACCGTTGACAAGGCGCTGCATATAACAGCGGCCAGGGCGGTGTCTCGAGGGCTGGATGCCGTGGCACTGATTTTCACAAGATTTACCTTGCTGCCTGAAAGGAATTACAAATACAGTTACAGGAATAATATTATTATTATTAAATAATAAAATGGATGCCTCTGCATCCAAACTATTTAAACTGTCTACTGATGATACGATCTGATGCCAATCTCTATGTCATCATGTATATATGACCCATGTATGTGGGCAAAGAAGCAGCTCTTCAAATACACAGCTTGATGTTTAATGTTCTAGACATGTAGGACGGATCCCATATACTTCTATGGTGAACTCAAGCTGTCATGCACATGCAGTGTGGCATAATTCTGCACCACAAGCAGAGCCGGCCTTAGGCCTTTAGGCGCCCTGTGCGAGAAAGCTTTACAGCGCCCCTCAGTGACCACACCCCTCAGTGGCCACACCCTTTAGTGGCCACACCCCCAGTAACCACACCCATTTATTACCCATATTTTTGGTAAAATATAAAAAGCGGGGTCACGTCGGGTAAATAGACACCAAACATGTCATGCTTTAAAATTGCGCGCACCCGCAAAATCGCAAAAAATTACCATGCCCAAAATTGACCATAGGTGACGCTTTAAAAGCTTTTACCGCTCATCAGTTTAGTGTTATCAGTGATTGATAGCCCTACAATTATTGCTCTCATTCCGACGTTCGCGGCGATATGTAACATGTGCGGCGTAATGGGCGAAATCGTCGTTTTCACACGTATGCGCACCCGACGCCTGTTTGCATGCGTGTATGTATGGGGGGGACTTTAAAAAAAATGTAATTCTTTTTTATTTGTAACTTTACATTTTTGGGGGGGAAACTTTATTGCTATCACATAGGGGGGTTAGAAAACCCCCTTATGTGATAGCAAAATATGTGACAGGTCCTCTTTATGGAGACATCAGGGGTCTCCAAGACCCCTAATGTCACCTAGGACCCCCCTGAAGAAGCTGATGAAGCAAAGATCTGCTTCATCAGCTTCTCTCCAGCATCTGAAGCTGGAGAGTGACACAAGAATGCGGAAGTGATGTAATATACACCACTTCCGCATTCTGACAGCGGAGAGGGGACCGGAGGGAGCTCGTGTACCGAGCTCCCTCTGATCCCCTGTGACAGAGGCCATATGCTGGTCCCGGGCTCGCACTGGGCACAGCGGAGCCCGGGACCAGCTTGACAGCGGGAGGGGGGGAGCCGGGGAGGGCGCAATTCACGGACCTCATACAAGCGATCCGCCGGCTCTATAGCCGGCGGATCACTTGTATGTTAACAGGCATCGCTGCATGTTTTCAAATAACTGGCATTTCCGGCTCGCGAGCGCCCAGCGGTGCGTGCGAGGGGGCGTGGCTGAGCGGACGTCTAAAGACGCTCGCTCAGATCTAGAGAGCTCCTGGCCGGCCGTTTTTTTACAACGGCCAGCCCGGAAGTGGTTAAAATAATTTTTTAAATGTTTTTATGTATTTTTTACTGTTGGGGGGGCTTTGGGAAATATTAGGGGTCCAAACAGACCCCTGACATTTCCCTTCTAAAATAGAAAAGAAATTGAGGACACCAAATCCTCAATTTCTTTTTTAGCAGCCTCAGCACTCAATGAATGGGAAGCACTCAGTACAGAGGCTCCTCCTGTTCATACTTACTATCGATGTGTTCCTAAATGCACAGAATATTATTGGATATTGAGTTATTATAGGTATATTAAGCATCTGAGATTGTTGATCCAGGGAATATCCGATTGCCTTATGGGATCAGGAAGGAATTTTTTCCCCTGTTGGAGCAAATTGAACCATGCCTAATAGGGTTTTTTTTGCCTCCCTCTGGATCAACAGGGGGTAACTGTAAAGAGCGTTCTGTTTTAGGTTTTTCTTTCTTTTTTCTCCTCTTATCTCTATGGGTTGAACTCGATGAACTTGAGTCTTTTTTCAACCTGACCAACTATGTAACAATTTTTTTTGCCATGAATGAGAGTCTAGGTTCTTTAGTTGATGGATATCAGAGTAAAGCCATGTAGCTGGCATCGTGCTAAATCTCCTTAGTGTGTTAGGGGCATCATTCTGCGTTTATTTGCTATCTTTTGGACTGTTAACTATATTACTGAAAGTGTTTAGTTATATCTGTTCAATAAGTGCAAAAAAAATGTTGGTTGGTCATGTCAGAAATTCATAGCTGTTCTGCCTTGTGCAAACTTCCTGTGTTATCTCGTGGAGTCTTATTAATAGCTAGGAGGGTTTTCTTGGGACTACAAAATAATTACCCTCTATGTTGAGAATAGTGTAAGGAGCAGGTTTGAGTAGTTTAGCCAAAAAAAAGAGAAAATTGGTAAGGGCTGACACCACTGAGTCCAAAAATAATAACACACCTGTTGTGTGCCCACAAACGGTCTTAAGAGCCTAATGGATTTTTTTGGCAGTTCAACAGGTATTCTTTTGTACCTGCAGGATCTTCACAGGTTTACAAAACGAGAAATATGCATGTAGAAGTATACTGCATATGGGTTTTGTTTACACTTTGAATTGTAACTTCTAATATAGTAAGGTATGTAAATTGTAAGGTTGGTAAACTCTATGCCCCAACTCCATCTTCTGATTTTACAGGACTGCTATTGTACCCAACAGGAGGAATACATTGAAATATTGCTTTTTTTTTGCCATAGAGGTCCAGCAACAAGTTATACCTATTTGTACATACACACAAACTTTTCTTCTTTTAGAATACATTTAATAACCAAATTTATAAATATGTGACCTGCGCTTATTTATTCAATATTTTTCAAGTTCATTTTAAATACACTTAGAACTGCCTTACGAAATCCATGTAGAATAAAAAATGGAGAATATTTTTTTTAGTTTTAATAAAACTACACACAAATAAATGAGAATTTTGGGCATTGTTGACTTGTCTATTTTGCCCCATTGTTATATTGTAAAGCGCTGCGTAAACTATTGGCACTATATAAATCCTGTATAATATTATTATTATTATTATTATTATTAATAATAATATTAGGTGTGGCAATGTGGCCTCACAATACATGCTGCATATCCATATCCCCCTCTAACTTTACAAATGTAAACAAAATTAGGTGTTATACATATCAAAAGAACTGCACCAATATCTGCCATGCCTCATTGTAGACCCAGACCTCGGATGGTGAGACTTCTAGAATACTGCCTTTACACACGGTAGCAGCAGCCATATCTTGGCTGGGGCTTCTCTCTTCAGCCTATCTATAGGCTGGAAGACACTGATATGACCCTGAAGGTGGGCAGCCGTGTCTTAGCATGTTGTATGATCTCTCAGTCTCATCTTCTCAACACACAGGACAGGGCTGGATGAATCACATAACATGAGATCACAAGAACAGTGATAAAGCTGCACAAAGAACAAGATCTTGATAAGGCTTGATCTTGATAAGTGCAAATCAGGCTTTGACTCTGGACCAGCCTCTTATCTAAGCTCTATGATTATTCCACAACAAAAAAACAGAGAGCACTGTGAGAGATCACATAGTTAAATTTGTAAAAAGAAAAAAGAAGTTTCAACTACGTACCACCAGATCTGATTCCAAAAGACCCTAAAGTTTTTCCCTAGACCACATAATTAGCATTAGAGAGAGACACACACAATCTCTACCATGAGCAATGAAAAACATATTTCCAGTCATGGACACCAACTAAACTGCTTATGGTCAAACCACAATTATGAAAACAAGGGCCGAGAACCAACTCCAAAAATACTTGGCCACCCCACCACAAAGTACCACACCGAGTTCCCATAAACAGTGCACATGTCTCTGCTCTCTGTATTCCATAACTGACTGACCAGAACAGATTAGAGATCCCGTGTCAGAATGCAGAGTGCTGGGGAGAAAGATTTTAAGGTATGAAGCAGAAATCAGCTTTGATCGCAGCCATACTTATCAAAGCCAGAAGCAATCATTTGAAAAGCAGCCTGACTAATGTGAAAGATTGTGTTTCTTTACATAAACTCATTTATCAAGCATTTATGCCAGTTTTTCCACATGAGCTCTAAATTGACTTAGTTTTGGTTGAATTATAAGTAGAACTTAGCCCGGTCTCACCTTCTGCATGACAAACTTCAGAAAGCAAACACATTTAAGTGATGGGATCAACGCCCGGCGCCAAGACACTGTTCTGTTTTCAAGCTGGACAAAGAATATGCAAATCTGCCGCAGTACAAGACATCTCTCTCTCTCTATCATAATCAGGCCATTTGGTTCACACAGAACTGGCTAAACAGCCTGATCTAAAGCAAAAGGTGAAGAAGGCTTCTACAGGCTATAGATGTCCTCATTTCAGGTATTCTATTTATAATTAGAGAATTTCGGTCATTCATACCATATTCTTCAAATTCTAACAAGATGGTCCTAGACTTGTAACACACATAAAAGAATAATTCAAAATAGATTTCAGTCTGTTTTCATCTGCTTTTTCAAAATATGATCATCCAATGTTCCTCAGTTTATTGGCCTCTGACCTCCATGTTCTCAAACTGTTCTGAACTTTGGATCCATTAAAAAGAAAGATGAGAATTGCATCAATGAACAAACCATAAGAATCTGTAACACTTATTAATGAGCCCCATCTTCTGCAGATATCTGGCTTTTGTGAACCATCGTACATGAACAAAGATATCTAAAACAAAGCAGCATTAAATGTATGTCCTTACAGGTCAGAAAGATGAACTTTATCACCTATATAAATCAAATTCTTCTAGCCTGTTCTTGGTAAAAAAAAAAAATGACATAATTGGTTCAAATTCACTGTACAAGCAGCTCTTTAAAAAACACAAAAGAGGCAAAAGAGGTCAATATGATAACCAAGACTCTGGGCCAAGGTAGATCGTGCCAATCAGTATCAGATCTGGAATGAACGATTATAAATCTGACCAGTGGTCACTTAACTTCCGTGGCCATTAGGAACAGAGCAGTTTTAACATTAGAAAAGCATATATTGTGGAATTACTAGACCTACAATGCCTACCTAAATATGAAAGTACAGATGGGAGAGGCTTTACCATCCCATA